TTAAAAAGTCTAATAAACATTATCAATTAATGAAATATTTTATCTTCCTCATATGTTCTAATTTAAAAAAAATAGATTACCATAACAGTCGGGTTGCAGATGTTTTTAGTAGGAGCGTAATTTTTTTGTATTATTTTCACATTAAGCTGTTAAGCCTCTCTACTCCATGTGATCTTGCAAATATATTTCTCCTCCAATAAAGCTAGGAAGGTAAGTCCACAACCAAACGCACCACTCTCACATAAATTCTTGAATTGTTTAAATATACGCGTATACTAATAGCAAATACAAAGGTGGAATAAGATCTTTTCTTGAAGATTTCAATATCGTATCAGAGTAAGTAACTTTAGATTTGGTTTTGAGCGTACGACCGAATTTTCGGTTTCAATAATGATTCACTTCGGTGGAAAAGTTTCCGATACCAACCCTATTTTTTTCCGACTAGTTTAATGCTGCAGCTAGCCTTTACAACTTCACCGAACGATAGGGACCGAGTGTAGATAGCACTCCAAACCATTACAGAGGACTTATAGAGCGGCTGAATACCAATTCTTGGCTGACGGATACGACTTTAGTCTGAGAACACCGCTAAGGCTAAGACCCTCATGATTTCCACCCACTGATTGAATGGTACTCTCAATCAATTCCTGGCAAATTTGCCATGTTGGTTATTTGAATTCGCAGTTTGTAAGCGTTCATTAAATAAATTACATTGTCATCGGCATTATGTGATTACGAATTAGTATTTCATTCAACAGCCCGATCGTATATTTCTGGACCGGTCGTTATGTATAATGGTGTTTAGCGTGACTATTCAAACGTATCTATATGTTTATTCTAGTTACTTAAGGAGATGTCCTGAATTAAAATGTTAAAAATAATCTCTTTTTGATTAAAAAATATTAAAAATGAGGATTGCAGACGTAGTAGAAGGATCAGGACATGGATCGAGAATATATGATTAGCCAATTGTCTATACATGATATTTTTCTGCTTTATATTTTCGCAATTTTCCAAATTTGCGTGTACCCTAGAAGAAAAATGTGTAATTTGATATTTAATTTTTTATATCTAGGAATTGCGAGATCGATCGTTACCACAGATTAAAAACTGTAGCGACAAAACACACATGAAATAGACTTATAAAACTTTATAACTATTCCTTGAAGAAAAAAAAAACAAAAAATAAAACAGCTGTTTTGAACACTTTAATTCAGGACAGCCCCTTATTGTTGCTGAAGGCATTTACTGGTAGATTAGGGACACTGGCGACGTGGGCACTCAGCATGTCGCCCTATTAATAACAGAATGCAATAACTCATAAAATCTTCACGGTAAAATCAGCTTTAAAACGTAAAAAATTTAAAGTCGATTTTGCAATATTTAATTTCTGAGTTAATGCATTATTAATCGAGCGATGTGTCGAGTCACAGCGGCGTCGCACGAGCGACAAATTTTCACAGTCTTATATATATATATATTAAAATCATTTGTTTGCTTGTTATATTAAGCGCTACCATACCGTTCATGCCGTTTCTATAAAAGTTTCTCAACTTATTGCTCTCACTTGCCAGGTATTAGTCACAATATAACTTACAATAGTATTGAGTGCGGACTAACATTGACGTCACCTGTACATATATATTTATATTAAAAATGTATCTTATCGCTGTCTGTATATAGAAGATGTCCCTACATCGTCCATTAATTTGTATCATTGCAAAAAAACTACTGTGTGTTATCTCAAAAGAGAAGAGGGGAGGAAGGGCATTTCTAGTAATGTGGACTGTTTATCCCATTGCTAGCATGACAGTTCAACTTCTGAACGTGGCCCGTCCTGGAAACCATTGAGGTTAATTCAAGTTGAATTGGCCAAGATGGGTCAACTGACCATGCTCGACTGGTGTCCGCCAACAAAAACCGTTATCATTATCACGATTACAAATAAAGCTACCAGAAAGTGGACTAATCGTTTTGGACGCGTTTTTCATTTATGTATTATGATAGGATTTACTTAAAATTTAGGGTTTGATTTATTGTGTATGTTATATCAGAATTAAGAGATCAGAGATAAGAATATCGTGATATGTTGGGATTGTTAGATTGTTAGCATTGTGGCTTTCAGCCACAAATTTACACTAACAAACTTGCCTATGTCCCCTTCCTATCATTAATTGGCGGCTCCGCCTTTGATGGAGGCCGGACCATATGACGTCAATGTTTTCCCACTATTTCTTTTTATTGTAACTGAAATAGCAATCAACTGACGGCCCATCTGATAAGTGATAGCCGTCGCCTATATACACGAATGGCACGACGGATATCACGTTATCACGTGACACCCGTGGTGCCACTCATGCGTTACCATTCTGGAGTACTAAGGTATCACCGCACCTTTAATAATAACAAATGAACATGCTTTTGTTTGTCATATTTATGTGTAATTTGACAACTGGCAATATCTCTGACTCTATAAATGTATATAACTGTGAAACAAGACTATCTACTTCCGTTGTCATATTGTTTTGCTGTTTAAATGATGAGATATATCAGTGAAACTAAAAGGTAAAGGTATTATATATTATACCTTAGTCCTCGTGAATGGCTACACCTGGGATCACCAGGAGAATTGGAGATGTTGTACAGATCTATTTCCTTCATTTAACAATTTATAAAACTCTTTCCAACATATTACGTAAGTACGTACATTTCTATTATAATAAGCTTTATTGACCTTTAAGTATTACTTTAAATTGTAATATCATTCCTCAATTATAAGTTACTACACAAATAAAATCTAGCGTGCTTTTGTATCTTATATCCTTTCTTTTGTTGCTTTTTCTACCACACACGTTTACACGTAGGCAGAAATATAAAAAGGTTGCCATCTTAAAATAAAATACTACTCTAACAGAACGGTAAGGCACTAGTTGACTGATGTATGAGTGAAGGCTTCATTCATATACGAGTATGCGTAATGCCCACGTCATTTTAGTACCGTCGTCGAGGCGGCGTTTACAAAAGTATCAAGCAATCATAATAGGGGAGATAAGCGCTAAGGGATTTATCAAAAATAACTGGAAATCTAGATAACTACACAACTCCGAAATAATATAGGCAAGAAATTCATTACAGCAATGGGCTCGCGCAAACGGGGCGGGTACAACGCGGATTATTGTAAGTCTTCATTTCAACTTATAAACTATGTAATAACGACTAAAAGAATTCAGATATTTTTGTTAGAATGCCCCATTAATAGGAATGATGTTAATAATACATTTTCCATGTATATATTAGAATATCTTATATATTAGACGAGTAATTTTATTTTGAGTACATTTCATAATATATAAATTTTTCATAATAAACAAACATTTTTTTTGAAAATTAAAAATTCCTAGTTTGATAGTACATATTATGAAATATATTGTAAGTCCTTTAAATATTTATAATCATAAGTTATGTGTCTCTCGTGAATCTCAGAGAAGATAGGTGGAATATTATAGTTATTTAATAAAGAATATATTTAGAAAGCAGTTTAATATATTAAAATATTTAATTCATTATACATTATTATCTGAATATGATATGAATGAGATTAAACGTTAAATTTTACAGTAAACCATGTTAGTTTAGCATTCCAACTGCCGCGTTCAAAACGCCCGTGTGCCGCAACCGAACACAATTCAGTCTAAAAAACCATGCAAGCTCTCTTAACACTAACGAATCGTATTTTATGTTTATGTTTAATGGCGTGTTCTAAAATCTTTTAATTTCGTGTTTCGAGTTCCCTAAGTTCCATTTTTTTTTTTTTTGTTTTTTTTTTAATAGTCGTCGAGGTCCACGTCGTCGAGAGGTTCGTCGAGCTGTAGAGATTGGAAATCCACTTTGTACCGCAGTATGCCTAATTAATGTATAAAGTTACATCGTTTATTGTGCATCCAACGTTGTCCAAGCAGCAGGAAAAGAAGAGAATATACATATTAGTAAAGCACTTAGTAAAGCGACAAGTAAATATATTATTAATACATGAATAAAATAGAAAGTTCGCAATTAGTGTTGCCATCAACAAATAGGTATTATAACATCCAAGACAAGTGTTGAGGCAAGTAATTTAGTAGTGGAAGGTTTAGTTTTCATACAAACTACGTATTTACTGTACCAAGTCTACATATCAAACACAAACTTTATTATAATAATAATAATATAATAATATCTCAGAGCAATTCACACAACGTCATCTAGTCCCAAGCTAAGCAGAGCTTGTGGAATGGGTACTAGACAACTGATATAAATACATGGATACATTTTTAAAAATAAATACATATTATATATAGAAAACACCAGACCGATACAAACAATCATACTCGTGAATACAACTGTTTGTACCGTGCGAGGAATCGAACCCGCGACGATCGGATAGTAAAGCGACCACCGAGGCTGTCTATTAAAGAACTCGAAAGTTCTTGTTTGAAATGTGGATATTATTTTAAAATGTGACTAACACTTGTTATGTTTTCTTAAACCCCTTCCTAAACCTTAATGTGTTATATCATTTATTTTAATTAATGTGTTGTGTAACAATTGTTTAATTAATGCTATCATTGGCTTTCAGTTTGGTACACCATTAAAGACTAACCTGTTCTTAACAATTACACTAACAAAATAATCCTTAAAATTATTAGACCTACAATTAGACACACTGGCAGTCTTATATATTGGTTTATATATATATAAAGTAGAAGTTACATATATAACGTAACAATATATACATTTGTTTTATACACCTGTGTCATTGCACTGTGCTGTATTAAACGCCTACAAGTATACACAAGTTGTGTTTCACTAGAATTCTTGTCCCTGATAGGTCTAGATAGGGAACTCTGAAAAAGAGCGAACACAATAGATCTATGTAGGTCGGAGTGCTACAGGTTTAAGCACCTGACAAGAGCCCAAATAGCCTAATAAAAAAAAAAAAAAGAACACTTGTGTGTACTTACCGCCAATGCCACCAAACCCTCGCACGAACTGACTCCCCTCCTGGCTCTTGTCGGTGATGATCTCTAGGGTGGCGCCGAAGGACTTGTAGTTGTTTGCGAGCCACTCCAGCAGCGGCTGACATTCCACCAACTCCAGTTCTACCCCGCTCTGTAATATTTTTTTAGTTTTTAGAAGTAGCTGAGTGTCGGCCTACGACGAATTTATATAAATTAATAAAAAACTTAGAGAAGAAACACAGCGACTTCTAGTCCCACGGTAAGCAGAGCTCGTGTTATGGGTACTAGACAACTGATATAGACACTTAGATTTTTGCTGAATAGAAATACATAGAAAACACTGAATTATTTTTTTGGGCTATTGCCAGATGTTTGTAGCACCTGTAGCACTGCGACCTACATAGATCTATTGTGCTCGCCCTTTTTTCAAAGCTCGCTACCTAGACCCCTTAGGACACTTCAAACACTCAAACCGAAACAAATGATCACTCATAATACAAATGTTTGCACCATGCGAGTAATCGAACCAGCGACCGTCGGAAATAAAGCGGTCAAATATAACATGCATATTGAATGTAATTCTATGTAATTGATGTTGTTGTATGTATCATTATTAATATGTATATGTGTTTATATATATGTATGTGCATACACTACATTTAAGAGGATAATGGTATCTGAGATACACGATTGCCCTAGTTTAAACACTACTGCTTTGTGTTAAACAGTTTTTAAGAACTACTTGCATTGTATATACGTACTGGGTATAGAAGCTTAGTTAAGTGCATTTTTGCAACTGATGTTTGCACAATATACTTATTATTATTAATATACATACACATGTAAGTGTATACATTCTAAACATATAATAAATTCTTTCTGCTGCTGCATAAACAGTATAAGTATGATCATATAACATTGCGGTGCATAGCCCACCTACTGCATTTCACTGCCCCACACTTATGTAATTAATATAGTTCATGATAATGCTAACATATCTTGTAAATTGTCTATTACATTAAAGACCCCTCTATCTATAAGATCCAATGACCCCGGAGGATTTGGACGGTAAAAAAGACAATCCAATATTTGGTGCAACCATAGTGCCTACCTCTTTGTCAGTGAAGTGGGATTTGTCCTTCTCTTGCTCGGGGGTCAAATGCAAGATGGTCTCCTGGTTGGTGGCATGTGATTTCAGTACATATCTGTAATATTTAATAAAATCAGATTAAAAAAAATAACATCTCAACAGCTTTTACTGAAGATGGAATTTCTACAAGCTAGTCTGCGTGGGTACCTCCTCATCTACTTCTTCGTTATGCCATTCATTTATGGTCGTCGTAATATGATTTTTTCTTCCATTCATCCATTTCCAGTTAGTAACTCGTCCACTCAACACGGAGTCGTAACGTGGACTGACTGTACATTGAATTTAAATCTATATTGTGTGGAGACGTAAACAAATGGAAGGGCGCTGATTGCTGACAGAAATACTAGATACAAGTGTTAAAAATTAAATGGAAATTATTCTCCTCACAGAAAAAAAAACACACTATGTACAAATATATAAATATGCATAAATATACAACAATGGGCGACCTTTTTCTTCCACATGATGGTCTACATCGAGGTCGTCAAAAATAAATTAACGTAGCTGATTAAACAAAGTAATTCTAGTTCAGTAGCAATTGTATGAATGGTGATGTGCTGACAGGGGCGGTGGTGAGGGTAAACACACACAGTACGATGTAACTTGTATATTAACTGTTACATCTTGAATTTCTCTAGCTTACACTAATTACATAAACTATATTAACCGTGTTGATTTCCACGTACTATATCACAACAAGTTGCAGGACACCTGTTGTCAAGTTCCAACAGGTGTGCAGTGCAGTAGCCAATACATAGTTAGTCATATAATACAGAATGCTCATAATAACACGGTACTCTTATAAAGCATTTTCATATTACGCGGATTTCAATCCCCCATATAGCGCTAGGATTTCACACATTATCTTTCTATACAGTGAAATTTATAATTATTTGTTTTGTACAGTTCATAATTTGTTTTTTTAGTTCATGATTTATTTAGAATGTTCATAGTTCATTTTGTTAGTTATTTTAATAAAATGTACATATTTCGATCTTAATATAGTTTATTCTAAATATTAGATTTAAACCATCTTTACCCAGAAAAATAAATGTGATAATTTCGTAACGCGTTATATGAGGTCGTAAAAACGCGTTCTACGGGAATACTCCTACAACGCGTTTTCCTATAACGCGAAACCAATATATCGTGTTATAAAATAAATTCATTGTGGCGCCCATTATATCTATTGTCATGTTTAAAACTTGTTTTACGCAATATATGCACTCTTATAAGAGTGTAATTATTGTATATAAGATATTTCCATATACACAATCACAATATCTAATCTGGAGTCTAAACTCTCATCTGCCCTATCCCCTCCTAATAATAGTATTTATATGCCTTATACTTATTATGCATAAACATTAAACTCTTTTAAACCACGTTGTACCTAGATGGATCATGCCAGTTATTGGATTACATCAGAATTCTACTCTAGCATAAAATAAAGATAATAGCGTCACCTCTGAATGTCAAGGTTCTCCCAGCAGATCAGAGTCTCGACCGCGCCCAGCTCCAGCGCGCGGAGTGTGTCGTCCACGCCGAAACAATACTTGCCCGTGTCCTGTGTAAGGATTGAATTGCTTTTATTACTCTTAAACATATTTTTTATGTGACTGGAATCACTTATAAAGAGATGGTACCACTTCCTAAAGTGCTAGAGCAGAAAGCACTTCGCACCCACAAGATAACTTATAGAGCCACTCAAGTACTATGAAGCCAATTCCTGCTTGATGGATACGACTTTAGTCTGAGGGCATCACTAGCGGGTTTGAGACTCGGCTCAGACCGTCATAAACTTTATAAGAGGTAAACATATGCTTTGAGTATTTACTCTTATAAGCAAATCTTTGAAAATATAATTCATTCATTACAGAATAAAAGATTCACATATGAAAAAGACTTAATAACTTATATATAAAAAACACCAGTAAGTTCTGACCATGGCCATTTCTTTTTGACTAAATCTGCATTTCAAATGTAGCAGCTATGCCCGCGGTTTCACTCGCCTGAAATTTATAGCCTATGTGTTATTCTGATGTATAAGCTATATTACAGTAAAGATTGATTAAAAGTCATTCAGTAGTTTTTGGTTAAGAATATGAAACATATGTCATCATGTGCATCCATCCATACTCACAAACTTCCGCGTTTATAATAGTAGTAAAAAAGTGAAGTACCTGTGAAATCTCATCGAAGTATCGGCCAATCAGTTTCTTCTCTTGTATAAACTTAACATTCTGGAGTGACTCAGCCGCCAGTTCGATGGCTTGGTTGAAACCGTTCTCACCGCCGTACGACACGTCCACCAGCTTGATAATTTTCGCTTGCAGACGCTGTAATAATAATAATCAGACGATATAAAGTAATAATAAATTTACTTTATTATTGATTTGTGCCTATACCAACAATATTTCTGTCAACACTCGGCACCCTTCCATTTGTTGACAAGTCCATTGAATTTAGATTTAAGTTCTGTCGACGTTACAACTCCGCATTGAGTGTGCATTACTACTAAGCCATATAGCACACTATCAAATAAACTTACTGATTTAGTACAGTAATTTCATTTGTACTCACTACCTAGAGGGTACAGAAAAACAAATAAGTAGCGATCTCATCACATCACATATAACGCTATAGAAAGATGATAGCAATGTACACAGTCAGATAAACTGATCTCCATACAGTTGGCAACCATCGTGATAAATACATGATGAATTTATCAGGATAGCCTAACTAACCTAACCTTATGCTCATTCTATCATCCTCCACTGGTGCCCTTCCAGCTTAAACCGTTAGCGCAAACAAGTGCATTATTCTATAATCACCCATAAGAAAAATGTACAGGAGAACCAGGCAATAGTTTTATATATGCCGAAGTAAAGGTTAATAACAAGTGGCATGTACCGGATCAAACATATCTGACTGGGACAGCTCAGTCTTGAAGTCGGCAGAACCAGCCAGGATGAGACCGGCCACGTTCGGTCTGTCTGCACTGATGAACAGCTGGGTGGCCACCTCAGCCACTTTACGCACGTAGTTGTGTCTCTTCTCCATACGAAGACGAGCGAAACGCAACGCCGACTGACCACCACGACCGTGCTTCTTTGGCAGATCCACTGTGAACTTGTGAAGCACCTGGAAACATTATTGTAGACATGTTAACTTTAAAGGTACTCACGTAAATTATAAATGAATGAAGAATGAAGCAAAAAGATTTTTCTTTTTCGTAGGATAAGTTTGGCAAATAGGTTGGTAGACAAAGTTGGCAAAGCTGACGCGGAGAATTCTCAGCAGCCGAATTTACTAGCTCTAAATATATCTTAAGATTTAAATCAGCTAAATAGCAGCTAATCTTTATGTTCTCTCAGTTGAAGCGAAGGCAACAACCACTAACCATTCAGTGGGCCAATAACTTGTTTCCATTTCCATTATAAAAAAAAAAGATATGAACTCTACTAACCTCTCTAGTATTTCCTTGCAGCGTACCAAACAAGGCTCCATTACCATCCATCACAATGAACCCAAACTTGTTATCATCAGCCAACAATGCTGTCAGGGCCTCCGTGTGGAATTTGTTATCACAGAGATAGAGTGACGTGTTGATAGGCTTGAAGGGTTCGAAGTCTATGTTCACCTTCTTCTCTTTGCCTTCTTCGGTGACGATGGTACCACAGTAGATGACCAGGCCATTGGGAGGTACTATGGGGAAAGAATATTTAAGTAACTTATGTGACTTTGCAGTTTACTACCTTGAATACTAGACTAAAAGGTCATGAGTTTAAATCAAAGTGGAAAAGGATTTTTTTTTCTAAACTTCACAAATTGGAGTACAATCTGTTATATTTATATAAGGCATATTGCTGGCAACAAGGCCTGCTATAACTAACAATTGATGGAGATATTCAGTGGATGTATAGCAGCAAATATAATTTATTCTGGTTTTCACCACAGTTGCATAACTGTTACTTAGCAACAGGAATACTAATTTTAAATAGGATGAATTATACTTTTTATTCCAAAATCAATGTGCCAAATAATTAAATTTTTACTGAAACTCAGGTCTCAGACCAACCAACCTTTAGTATACAATTTCAACCGATGTTGTACAGATGTGATTGCACCGAGCACAGAGAGACGGTTCACACGGGACTTGATGTTTGATGCCGTACCAAACTCATCAGCCAACATTTTGGAGACACGTGAGATCTGATCCTTTGGCGGTATTATCAGGGATATCATTGATGTGCCATTCCTGGAATGTAAGAAAATTATTTAATTAAATATATACATATACTGTGATATAGGTACAAATGTTCATACTGTGATTGAACCTGTATTAAATATGTTAGGTATACACTATTTAAATATATATACAAAAAACTTATTAAAAAATGTTGTCTAATAACCAAGCATACATACAATTGTATGGACTTCATTAGAGAGAGCACAATAGATCTATGTAGGTTGCAGTGCTACAGGTGCTACAAACACCTGACAATAGCCCAAACAACTCAATAAAAAAAATAGACTTCATTATTACTCTTCACCATGATTATTTAGTGGGCTGTGTAGACTAGCAATTGAACCAACTGCCTTACTTATTGTTATGGGTTTAGTCCTCTTATTGTACAGACATTTGTGTTGATGAGTATAAACTGTATCCGTCAGAATGCATTATATGTATTTAAAAAAGTATCTATGTATTTATACTAGACATCTAGTACCCATAACACAAACTATGTTTAGCTTGGGACTAGATGGCACTGTGTGAATTGTCCTGACATATTATATTTGTATGAGGCTGAACTACACCACACAATGGACAGTGTAATAACCTCCTAATTTAAGTATGACTCACCATGATTCATTGGTTTTCAGGAGTAATTATTCATCGACTGCCTTATGTTATATTAGGTTTTAATCTAGACTTATAAAAGAATTCTTTTGTGCCAGAATACTGACATTTGTTTCTGCTTATCAGGTTTAGTCAGATAGGTCATTCTAAAGATAGTCATGGTATAAAGCATAGCAGACATATGCAGACCAAGGGTCTAAATAATGTTAAAAAGGCATTCTATGAAATTTTAACATTCCACAAAAATTAAAAATTAAAATTACGAATTGCCTTGATCCTCTTTTTCAAAAATGGAACATGGTAGAAATTGCCATTGCTAAATATTAACTATCTTTATTATTATAGTAAAATTATCTACAAAGTCAACATCAGAAGGTCGAAAACTGCGTGATTATTATAATTAGATACATTGTTTGTTTAATGTCCAAGAAAGGTCGACAGTGAACTACGTACGAAAATAATTATTCAATTTAGCACAGAATATCGATCTTCGTTTGTTTAGACGGGATGTTTAAATAATGTTTCGAGTATTTTATTAAATAATGAGCCTAACAAACTTGTACATTGTGTATTGCTTTGTACTGTCTGCCTGTCGCGTGTTGCAAAGGTTATACGCGCATGCAAGGCGGCGCATGTCGCACAGGACAATGACGCAGCCCCGTTGGCAACCGCATGACTTTACCACCACCTTGCAGCACGCGTCACATAAATATGTACAAAACTCACCCTCTAGCCATTTCCAAGCTTTTTATGAGCTTTTTGATCTTCCAAATTTCGACATTCCGATCTGCTGACGATTCCTCAGACATTTTGTTTGGGTTTTATTAACTAATATACCACCAAAATTGCAAATAATAACGAAATTAGAAGTAATTTTTACACACAATTAAATTCTAAATAAAAATAAACGAGGAAAAGGGAGCCCAACTCGCGGTTTGAACTGCTAAAAACCAGATCGAACCGGACGGACGAGACACCTCGCGACTATAGTTCACACACTTTCTAATTCACATTTACGTTCGCTATCACTCGAACTTTTCTTCTGGTGCGGGGATTCTTGGATTTCTTCTTAATTCGGTTACCCCTAAGCATGTGGGACACAGAAATCAGACATTACACGGATAAAAAAGATGACGTGACCAAACGATCGAACGAACGCTTGCCTCGTCGTACGTCGGGAAAATGAAAGAAAAAAAAATATAGTGAAGCGAATGTAATCTTCCGATAGTCGACAAATCATTAACTAAAATAAAATTCAATTCGATTCAAAATCAGTGAAACATTTTCGTGACTTGTATCATTAAATTGAAAAAAAAACAATTGTAATAGTCACTAATATAAGTCAACCATTATAAATACGTAATAATTGTTACGTGTTATCGAAATAAAAAATGTTAACATTACATTTATTTATTTTAGTATATCAAAATATATTTATTTTGACAATAGTAATAATGAAAAAAGAATGCTCTTGTCAATGAAAATAGTTCTAAATGATGAGCTATTGCTATATTAATAGATCTGTCTACTATATTAAAACATATGAGATTAGATACAAAGTCGCATCACTCTTTGTCACTTTCGATTTCTTACGATGATACCATTTACAAAAAACTAATTTGTTCAAAATATTAAAAATTAAATAAAATCATAAATTATTTCACTATTAGTGGACTTTCAAAAATCAACGCTGTGAAAAAACTTTCTTACACTACTGTAACTTATTCTGAGTGGGAATCACATTCAGCATTACAAATAGGTTTTAAGTTTAAAGATGAATATAGTACACATTTTTATATAATAAATTATTCAGTATGATATAATACTGAATAATTTATTTCATCATGATTATTACTCGCAGAAATAATAAATTAAATCAATATAATATTTCCAAGATTTGGTAAATTTCTATATGGCAATCTGATTTTGAAATGTCAATTTTATTTAAGGTTATTAATTTCGCAATCACGACTATAACAATCCAAACGAAATGTTATGTAGCAAATTTAAACAAATATTCTATAATAAGTCCAAGTTGAATGATAAAGTGCAATATTTTTTAATATCTTCGCGGTTATCGAAGCGATGTATGTTGTTAGATAGTTTATTGACAATATCTAAAGGTGAACGGAGTATGTCGTATTTTCGTCTCTCACTCAAAGATTTGCGTGTTACGAGACTGTGGAATGCTTGGCGGCGAAGTTGTTTTGTTAACGCTGTGGTCAAAAGATGTAGGAAGGATGTGAACGTACGGGAAATGATACAAACATTCAGGCATGCGATTCTGCGGCCGAGACGAACACTATTATTGTCGGCTACAGCTGCGTATAATAGTAATCGTTCTGAAGACAGTGAACCACAGTCTAACTGCGCAAAAAGTATTACCGACGAAGAACTAGAGGTATATATATATATATATGTTATTATTGTAAGTTGTTACCCATGACTTTGACTGGGTTTCTAGAGATAAAAGGTCGCAACTATGTCATGATACAAACAATCTTCATAGCAAATTTGTTTAATATTATAGTTAGTTGTATATAGTTAGTTGTATAAAGCTAACAAATATGTCGACAAACAGACTTTCACATTTATAACATTAGTCTGTAAATAATATAAGTATAATAGGTATACATTACACTACTATAAATCTAGAACATTTTATAAATTAGTAATTTTGAATTTTTGTAAATATTTTAACAATAATATTTACTGCACTGCTACTCTAAAATTCAAATTAATTTAGTGACTCATTTTTCTTTTGTTACATTAAATATAATAGTTTTAAAAAAGTTTATGAAGTTCCTTGATCAACTGTAATTAGTAAGTCATAAAAGATATGAACAGATCTAAAATATTACTGCAATCATAAAAACAAACTCCATCAAAACCAATGCATCCATATGTAATGGAGATATAATGTCATAGAGAAAAATAACATGGAGATTAGAAGATTAGAAATTGGAAAGCTTTTAATGGATATATATTTACATATTATATAGATAAGATAACAAAAACAAAAGCATTGACTTTATACAATATGTAAGGTTTTTATTCATTTGTAAGTATTGTTTGTTACATTAAATATATACAATAAAAAAGAGGATGCCAATTCAATTATTTTTTTTATTTACTTTTTTTTATGCTATATTTACATAATATATTATATTATATATGTATTATTTATCTATACATATAAATAAAATCGTAGTGTCTGTTTGTAATATTGAAATAACCGGTTTTTACTACATGCATATGAATATAAATACGGTACATAAACAAAAATAACATTTTTTACAATTTTTGTCTCTCTGTTTGTCTATTTGTTCCGCCTAATCTCTGAAATGGCTGGACCGGTTTTAACGGGACTTTTTCTGACAGGTAGCTGATGTAATAATAGTATAAGGACTAACTTAGGCTACTTTTATTTTAGAAAAGCAAAGTTAAATTCCATGTGGATGAAGTTGCGGGTACAGCTAGTATGATAATATGATGTATGTTGTTGTAGTTCATGTATGTAGGAAATAGTTAGTACATATTTTCAGGTTGTTTGTCACTTGTTTGTCACTCTAATTACATGAAAAAAATTCATTTCCTGATTTAAAATATTTTTTTAGGCTGTATTATCAGAGTTGGATGGTATTGTCCAACTATCCAAGAGGACCCTGTTCTGTACAAGTTGTGGGAAACGATTGGTTGTTGACAGAAAACATCCTGGTGTTCAGTATTGTGTGTGAGTATACATATATATTTCTTAAAACTCATTTTATTGAAAAAAAAAATCATGGTATAAAGGCAAAGGTAATGCTAGAAGCATTTGTCAGTCTCAATGGTCTAGTGGTTTAGTACACTGCCTTACTATACGATGGTCATGGGTTCGATTCCTCACATGGTACACACATTTGTATTCATGAGTATGATTGTATCAGTCTCGGTATTTTCTATGTATAAAATGTATTTATTTAAAAAAATGTATCCATGTATTTATATCAGTTGTCTAGTACCCATAATACAAGCTCTGCTTAGCTTGGGACTAGATGACGTTGTGTGAATTATCCTGAGATATTATTATATTATAATTATTATAGATGATTGAGTTTTTAATAATAATTAGAATGGAAGGGAATAGATATTGCTGTGTATATTATCCATCCTTATTACAGAGCCACCTTAATATTTATTTATGGCCTTTATGTCTTTAGACAAGCTGATGTAGTGAGGCAGTGAAATAGAAATGCACTGCCTCACTACATCAGCTTGTCTAATGACATAGGCCTCCTCCAATAGACTCCATGTGCCTCTGTCTAACGCTAACCTTAATGTAACAAGCCTCAATATAATGATTTAGTCTATTTAACAAGTACCTCGTAATACGTAATGAGCAATTCAAGAGCATATGGACAACATACACTATGATAAGAGTTTACATTGCGAATTTCTTTCGAACAACCTCTTTATTTATAATTATTTTTAAACTATAAAAATAAGTGAAAAAACTTCTTAGTAACAAATGTTATCAATACAAAACCATTATATAAGGTTTCCACCAATAAATGACCCTTGATCCCATAGTATGTGACTATATCACGACATGTTCTAGTTTATAATAAAAAAAAATATACTTTGATTAAATTGTTTTCATTAATGGAAGTTTTGCATACATAACAACAACACACAACTCTTAAAGGTCTCGGTGATCTAGCGCGGTGTTTCCCAATTAGTGGTACGCGTACCCCCAGGGGTACGTGGAGTTGGATCAAGGGGTACGTGCGGCTATCAGTACAACAAACATACACACACACTCACAATTTCTCACATTTATAATATTAGTGTGATTGCTACAATAAGGGGTACGCAAGGTTTGAGGTTTTTTTTGAAGTGGTAGGCAGCAAAAACTAATTGGGATCCACTGGTCTAGCGGTTTAGCACACTGATTTACTTCTATTCGTCGCGGGTACGATTCCTCACAGTGCAAACATTTGTATTCATGAGCATGATTGTTTGTATCGGTCTGGGTGTATTCTATGTATATTATGTATGTATTTACAAAAATATGTCTAAGTATTTATATCAGTTGTCTAAATACGCATAACACAAGCTCTGCATACGGCGGGACTAGATGGCGCTGTGTTAATTGTTGAGGGTTATTTATTTATTTATAAGAAGATGAGTATGTAATGTTGGAGTGAATAATAATACAGTGCAACCTTCATATAACAAATCTTAGATCAACCTAACCTCAATATAAAAACCTTAGTTTAACAAATTACTTGATATTACGAATATTTACATGTTCCCTTCTGATTTGTCATATTGAGATTGCACTGTATTAATGTATGTGTTTTTTTCGGACTACTCTAATGCTATTGACCGCAGCTGGCCTTCAACTAACGTTGCCAGCTTCATCTGACGTAAGGGCATCGGAGTGCAGATGGCACCCGCGGAAGGCCTTAGAAGCGGCTGAAGTCCAACTCCCGCCTGACGAATACGACTTTAGACTGAGGGCACTGTTAGAAGTTCGATCCTCCGCTCAGGCCGTCGTAATTTTAATCCCCGTTTGATTTAGATGAGATTAGAGGGTGCACCCTCTGATCGATCCCTCGGAAGATTGATCGGAGAGGAAACTTTAAGCAATACAATATAAATAAAGTTCATAACAATAATTTAATCACATCTTTATAGGTGTAAAGATGGTCCCCACCAGGACGTGTCGTCAGACGGATGGATGCCGTACATGGAAGCCGAGGATGTCATCATATGGCGTAAGGAGTACAAGCCAGGCCAGGGATTGTATGCGTACAAAGGTAATTCAAATATATTGACTTAAAAATTTTAACTGACACACGACACCCATTCGAAAGGGGATCGAAATTTGAACCCCCTAGAGGTGCAGTCAGGAGACAGGCAGAAGTTGGTCTTGAAGCGCTAAATAACTTCTGCGGGTTTGGACATTCCCCTCTGCACTCACTTCTTCGGCCTGCGGCCACCCTTACCTCCGATGAAGTAGTAAAGCTACGGCTACAAAACATTTGTATGAGTATGTATGTCTCATACTCACAAGTATGATAGTTTGTATTGGTCTGGGTGTTTTTTATGTATAATATATGTATGAAAAAATATCTATGTATTTGTATCAATTGTCTAGTACCCATAACACAAACTTTAGCTAGCTTAACTTGGGTCTAGATATATATATATATAGCATCAATTGTCCTGAGATTATTAATATTGTTATATACTTATATTTTCATAAAAACAATCGATTTCTATTCTCATCGCGACTATAAAGATTCCATAGTTAGAGTATGTTTGCCGTTGTAATATACATATGTACTATATATGGTCGCAAACATTGTGTTAATTCTGTTAATAATATAATTAGCCTTGAGTTGATAATTAACTTACTTAATATGTAGGAAATACCTTCAAAACGTACGCTCATGTATGCAGAGGAATGGATAAAGATATTGACTATTTTGTTTATGGTTGTTTGCACATTAATTCCGAACTTAAATTAAAGGATAATTATTTGTACCGGACATTTTTTTTATGAAAATTGTAGCATATATCTTGCTATCTTACAAATATTATAAACGTAACTATTATTTGAGTATGGATGGATATGTACCTACTTGTAATATTTCTGTCAAAACTAGGGAATTCTCCCATTAGTTTACCTCTCCAGATAACATAGATTTAAGTTCTGTGTAAAGTCCACGTTACAACTCTGCGTCGAATGTACGCGTTAGTAATGCGTACGTGTATCCATCACAAAAAGAATTACAAATATCATAAAAATAAAAGTAGACTAAGCTGTACGGTCTAAGGATCTTTGCCTGTTCCATCATTGAAAATGAGATAGACGAATAGGGAAAAAAATATCGCTATAATATAACATTTTCAACTCCGTATTTTCCTCACAAAACCTTGGATACCTCTCACTTATAAAGTACATCAGATACCTCTGCTTCAGATGTTATTTCGGTGTGTACAGTTTACGGTCGGTACAAGGAAGTTCGGGCGCAGGACTTCGCCGCTGTGCAGGTGGACGGCGCCTACCGTCGAGTCTGGGATACAGCCGTGGCTGCCCTCAGCGTGGTGGAACGCCGCGCTAACGGACTCCGAGACCAGGCTGTGCTGCATTGGGAGGTGCTGTGGCCGGTGAGTTCTTGAAATTTAAATTCAAAAATCATTTATTCATGTGGGACATTTTAGCCGCATATGAACGTAAAATTTTTTATGTTATATTTTTTTTCCTACCGTCCAGTTTAGTATATATTTAGATCCAATTGAGAAGAACTGGCAAGAAACTCAATTCAATTGCATTGCTTATATGACGTCATTTCTGCGTGTATTTTTTAATGGATGACAATGGAATTGTGCATCCACCGCATAAGCTGAGCATGAGGTTAGATCAGGTAGTCCATCATAACAAATTTATCATGATGGTTTCCAGGGGTACTGCTTGGAGGTCAGCCGGACATTTTTAAGGGATGTTAATAAATGGAGCATTCACTTGCGCTAACGATTTAAGCAGGTGGGGCACCAGTGCACTTTGATAGGATGAGCATGTGGTCAGATCAGTTGGCCCATCATGACAAATTGAAGTGGAATTAAACAAAATTGTATATACACAAATTAAATATTGTATTACTAGCTACTCACCCGGGCTTCGCACGGGTGTACATGTATATATATAAAACCTTCCTCTAGAATCACTCTATTTATGAAAAAAAAACGCAAAAAATCCGTTGCGTAATTATTAAAATTTAAGCATATATTGAGACGGACAGACAGCGACAGCGACTTTGATTTATACTATGTAATGATGATTTATTATATTTCAGAGATTATTTGCAAACAGAGACTACGTATATATCAGGCGCCACAAAGAATTCGATTCAACGACCGCATCCGATTCACACATGCAAACTATATTCGATTCACCCCCCACCACGACGTCTCATACACACATCGACACGGAACGACCCAGCGTGCACTCGAAAGCGAAACGGAAAGCTATGGAGAACTACGAGAGGGAGAGAGACGGCAGTCATACGAACAAAGTGTACGTGATAATGTCGCGGTCGTGCGAGCACGAGGAAGTGCCGGAGACGAAGCATGCTATCCGGGTGTCGGAGTACTGGAGTCATATGGTTGTGAAGACGCTTAACGGCAATGATAAGGTAAGAGAGGTTTTACCAAAGTGAATTTAATGATTAGGTAAATGATGTTTCACCAAGGTGGACTTAATGATTAGGTAAATGATGTTTCACCAAGGTGGACTTAATGATTAGGTAAATGATGTTTCACGAAGGTGGACTTAATGATTAGGTAAATGTTGTTTCACCAAGGTGGACTTAATGATTAGGTAAATGATGTTTCACGAAGGTGGACTTAATGATTAGGTAAATGTTGTTTCACCAAGGTGGACTTAATGATTAGGTAAATGATGTTTCACCAAGGTGGACGTTTTTTTAAGGTCGTCCGTGGGTGACCCTTCAAAACAGTGCACAATATTGCACTGTTTTGAAGGGTATTGTGCTGAAATTAATCAATTTAAATAATAATAATTCATACAACTCTATCTAGTCCCAAACTAAAATGTTATTTATAGTTACAATTTTGTAAATATTATTATTATTATTAATATTATAAACGCGAAAGTTTGTGAGTATGGATGGATGTTTATTTTTTTTTCAGGCGTAAACAACTGATAGGATTTTTATAAAACTTTACATTGATATACCTTATACATCAGAATAACATATAGGCTATATATCTCACGCTAGTGAAACCGCGAACAGCTAGTACATACATAATATACACAGACACTCAGAACAATACAAACAATTTTACTATATGAATTAGGTACATGAATGTTTGCATCGTACAAAGAATCGAATCACGACAATCAGAAGTACGGCCATGTGCTAAACCGCTAGACCACCGAGGCATTCCGATTGGTTCATTTGGTTGTTATGTCCCACCCTCTTCTGAGATGTACAATAAACAACCTGACGGATAAATGAGTGAAGGTGGAAGGGAATCGTTAGTATTGCAGCCTGATGACCCCATGCCAGATTGACCGCCACCTGGAAACCATCGTGATAAATTCCTGGTGAATTTATCACGATGGGCTATCTGACTTGACCTCAGCATCTCATGCTCATCTTATTATCCTCCACTGGTGCCCCGCCAGCGTATGCCGTCAGCGCAGGCGGGGGAACCATACCATTATCATCCATAAAAAAACTGGACGTATATCGGAGGCCTTATTTGGTGATCGTCAGGCGGGCATGGAGTTCGTGCTGACGTACTACGACGAGCCGGCGGTGGGCGGCCTGCCGTGCGGAGTGGCCACGTGGGCCACGGGCCGCGCCGCGCCCGCCTACCTGCTGCGCATGCGCGCCGCCGCCGCGCACTACGCCGCCTGGCGCGCCGCGCGCACCCACCAGGTACACTCGGACACGTGACACGTGACACGTGACACGTGACACGTGACACGGACACGTGGGCCACGGGCCGCGCCGCGCCCGCCTACCTGCTGCGCATGCGCGCCGCCGCCGCGCACTACGCCGCCTGGCGCGCCGCGCGCACCCACCAGGTACACTCGGACACGTGACACGTGACACGTGACACGGACACGTGGGCCACGGGCCGCGCCGCGCCCGCCTACCTGCTGCGCATGCGCGCCGCCGCCGCGCACTACGCCGCCTGGCGCGCCGCGCGCACCCACCAGGTACACTCGGACACGTGACACGTGACACGTGACACGGACACGTGGGCCACGGGCCGCGCCGCGCCCGCCTACCTGCTGCGCATTTTATTATTATGGGGTCGTCCGCTGATCCTTTATATGGACCGCTGGGTACGGGCCCCGAGCTTACGCTCTTTACCCGAGCATACTGCTGGGGTATACCACCCCAGCGTCGTTCGTTTACCGGCCGGCCTGCCGGCCGACCGGAAGCCGGCTGCTTCCCAGCAGCCGGCTGAGGGAGTCGTGTGAGTGGGACTCTATAAGTCGCTCGCCGAGCCGGCTTAACGCCGCCACGTCACGTAAATGACGTGATCACTCGGTGGAGAGTAAGTCGCGCGGGAGCGCGCGAGTGGCGTCCGGTGGGCGCGCGTGGAGAGGGGCGAGGTCGCGCAGGTGCGCTTCGCGCCCGCTGTCCGCGCGCGAGAACATCGCGCGCGTCAACCGGACGACGAACTGCTCCACCGATGGGACCTTGAGATCGCGGGCGATCACGTCATTACGGACGTACCGTCCGGCATTTGTGCACAGACGGAGGGCGGCGTTCTGTTGGACCTGCAGTCTCCGCCGCTGTGAGGCCGAGCACAGTGCGTACCATGCGGGGGCGGCATATGTGAGCCGCGAACGAATGTAGGTCTTATAAATGCCTACTTTCGTCCGCAGCTGCAGCCTGGATTGCAAGACCGGTCGCAGCATAGCGCGCGCGGCCTTGGCTTGGGTGACAGCCCGGTCCACCTGCGGCGTCATACGCAGCGACCGGTCGATTTCCACCCCTAGGTAACGCACTGTGCGCTCCCACTGGATGGGCTGGCCTCTCAGTAAGAGGGGCGGCGGGCATTTGCACCCGGGGCGGGTAAGCAGCGCCACCGTTTTACCCACGTTAACGGTGGTACGCCACTTATCCAGCCACTCGGGGAGCAGGTCCAACAGCCGCTGCATTTTGCGAGCGGCTGCGTAGGCTCGGCGAGACGACGTAAGAAAGGCACTGTCGTCGGCGAAAAGAGCGAGGACGACATCCCTCTCTCCCTCTCGGAGCTCATCCCTCAAGGTGGGGATGTCGTCTGTGTACGTCGCGTAGAGCGCTGGCGAAATGCAGCTGCCCTGCGGGACTCCGGCGGCAATTGGGCGTGTGGTAGAGTCACAGTTCTCGACCGAAACATAGAAGCTCCGGCCCGAGAGGAACGAGTCCACTACTCGCACGTATGCTGACGGCGTGTTGGTGTCGAGCAACTTCGACACCAAACCGTCGTGCCACACACGGTCGAACGCCTTCTCTATATCGAGAAATACGCCGACCGTGTAGTGGCCGCGGTTGTGCTCGACAGCCATATGGTGGAGCACGCGCGTCAGCTGCAAAGTCGTCGAGTGTCCGCCTCTGAAACCGAACTGCTCGTCGCGAGGCGACAGAGTCGGTCTCAGGCGGCGGAGCAGGAGGCGCTCGAACGACTTTGCTACGTGCGAGAGCAGAGTGATGGGCCGGTAGCTTGCCGGCAGGCGCTTGTCCTTGCCGGGTTTCGGGAGGACTATGACTCTACCCAACTTCCAGTTGGTAGGGAAGTGGCCGGTCCGGAGTATGCCGTTGTAGAGCCTCGCTAGACACGCTAGGGCTCTACGGGGCAGCTGTGCGAGCGCTGCGGTGCTGATCCCGTCCGCTCCGGGCGCTTTGCGCTTCGGCAGGCGGCTGACGAGCCGCCTTACCTCGCCGGGCGAAACGAAGCTCACTTCGTTTACGTCCGGCGACGGAGCGGTACGGAAATCGCATACGCGACGTACGACTCGCTCGTGGTGCTCGACGACAGTGCTGGGTGCGTCGGCGGCTGTTGGATTGGCCGTGAATTGCCCCTCCAAGTGCTGTGCCAGGATTTCTGCCCGGTCTTGGGCTGCGTAACGACGTCTGCCCGTCTCGTCAAGCAACGGGCAGAAGGGGGGTCGTGCATTGGTGAGCTGTCGATTGAGTTTGTGCAGGTCGGTATCGTGTTCGCCGGCCCGGGATATGACACCCTCCCAGGCGGCTCCACGCCAATCCCGCACTCCCTCCGACAGCTCTGCAGCCAAGCAGTTGAGCTCACGCTTGACCCGCGGGCAACGGGTTCGGGCCCATAGGCGACGGAGATTCTTTTTCCGGGCGAGTTTTTCGCGCAGATGGTGTGGCAATTCCTCTCGACGGCGAGAAGCCACGTTTATTGTGGTAGTTGCCGCCTCCACTGCGGTGCGGATTCGCTCCGTTATGAGTGTGGAGGCGGCTTCGACACCCGCTGGCGATGATAGTTCGCCGTCGAGGTGTAGATGCTCCAATTCTGCGCGAAAAACACGCCAATCCATCCGCCGCCTCGACGGTCTCGTCGGTGTGGTGGTGGTGGAGAGGTCAAGCGTGGCTAGAACTGGGAGGTGCTGCGTGTCAAGGTCGTACAGCACCTCCAGTAAGACCGGGCAAGGCACAGCCTGCACTAGGGCAATGTCCAGAACGTCTGGGCTATGTGTGGGATTTGAGGGTACGTGGGTTGGGTGCGCTGGGCCCAACACCTCGTACCCGTGGATCTGCGAATCCTGGAGGAGTCTTCGACCTATCGGCGAGCACAGACGGGAACCCCAAGCCGTGTGCTTCGCGTTTAGGTCGCCCATAAGTAGGGTGGGACTCCTCCCATCCAGAACGTTCCGGACATCGGAGGGGCTGAAATCCAGTCCCGGGGGACGGTAAGCTGCCAGGACCTTCAGTTCCGCGCCGTCGACGTTGATGCTGACTCCTATGGAGCGCATGACGCGGAACTCGGGGCGCTCTAACTCCACGTGGACTACGTCCCGACGGACTAGTACCGCCGTACCGCGGTACGCAATGCCCGCCGGTGACGTTTCGTCGCGTCTATACACGTGGTAGTTAGGCACCCTCAACGTCTCCTTTTCTGTGAGCTTCGTTTCACCCAGGAGTATGATGTGCACATCCTGGGTGCGAGCTAGGAGACGGAGGTCCTGGACTTTATCCTTTATTCCCCCGGGGTTCCAGTACACAATGCGCAGGCTAGTACCCGCCATTTGTGTACTGTTGGATTTTGGCCAATCCATTTAATGCCGCCGACTTTGTGTCCGCGCCGGCCGCGAGCGTTGTTTGCAGCTCCGTCAACAGGCTAATAAGCATGTTCAGTGCTCTGTCGACGGGCGCTTGTGTGAAGGGAGCGGGTGCGGTGTATATCGTTCGCGCCTCTGGGTGTGCGGTCCGTGTGGGGGGCGCGGGAGGTGCGCGTCTTGCGTCCGCCTGTGGCGGTTCGAATGCCACTCTCGGCACGCTATGTGCCGGTGGCGCCGCCCGGCGGCGACGTGGCGCAACTCGTGGACCCTGTGTTGGGACGGCATGCGTGGGAAGGCCCCACCCTTCCGGTGCGATGTGCGCATAGCTTGTAGGGGTGGGATCCGGTAAGAAGGGGATTGGAGTTGAGGCCGTAACTGGCCCATCACCGCGCCTCTTCTTGCCGCGTCTTCGGCGGCGGCGTCTTTTATTTTCACCGGTGTCGGTGCCGCGATGCTTCGGCTCGTTGGCCGGCGCCATTAGGTTGGCGCCGGCTGTTTCCTCGACCGTTATTACGGGAGGAGGGGCCTGGGCGACGTAGGTACGCGGCGCCGCGGTGGGTTTATTACGACGCTGTGTTTGCGCCACGGGCGTTTTTGTCGTCGCGGTAGGGACGGGGGGGCGGGGTTTGATGCCCCTCTGCCGTGCCTCCCTCTTATACACCGGGCATTTTCTGTCGTTGGCCGTATGTGCCTTGGCGCAGTTGGCGCATGTCGGTTTTTGGTCCCTCGGCCTGTCGCAGTTCGCCGCCGGGTGCTCCCCACCGCAGCGAACGCATTTCACAGGCCGGTGACAATTGGCCGATGCATGGCCGAATGCCTGGCATCTGTGGCATTGTGGCAGCACCGATGCCGGCTTCCACGCCTCAACGACGACGCCCCGCATGTACAGGAGCTCATCAGTCGCGTACAAGCGTGTGAGCTCGTCCCTGTCCATGGGGTCGAGTTGGGCGTGGAAAATGCAGCCGGGGCGGCCGCGACGCGCGGGTATGCCCCGCACTAGCCGCACTCCGAACCCCTTCTCCTGCAGTGCCTCCGCAATCTTGTCATTGGGCGTGTCGGCTGGGAGTCCTCTTATCGCCACCTTAGTGGGCAGTTCGGAGGCCAGACTATAAAAGTACCAACTTATTGTTGGGTCCTTTTCGCTGGCCTCTACCAAATACCTTTGGACGGCACGGAATTCTTCGTCCGTCCTAGGTAGGAATCTGACCCCCGTGCCGTAGGGTCTTGCGTTGGGTGCCTCCCCCAGTACGCGCCTGAGCTGGTCGAAGTGGCGCGTCCAGTTAGGGAGGCGTTCTGCCACTATGGGGAGGTATTTTCCTCGCCCTGTGGCGGGTTCAGCGCCTGCGTCGGCGTTCCTCGTCTGAGAGGGGAGGGGCGGAGCGAGGGCCGGGGCAATTGAGGTGGCAGGGGCTGGGGTGGCGGGGGCCGCGGTGGCGGGACCCGCCGCTACTGCCGCGAATGACGGCGGGGTTCGTCGTCGCGGCGAGGGGACGGGGGGGAGCATCGGCTCGGGCGGTTGTGAAACCGCCTCGAGTGCCACATAAGAAGTGGCGTCATATCCACCCCTATCCAATGTGTAGGAACGGGGTAGTGGCGAGGGTGCTCGCGATGTCTCGGGCGACGACGCTGGTGACGGCGACGAGCATGCGTCACCGTAAAAACGCCTGTCTTCCCCTCCCTCCTCGCTCCCGCTATCCGGCGGGGGGGAGGGTGAGCGCGGAGGGGGTGAAGGCTTTCGCCGCACGGTACCCGACTGGGACGGTAGGGGTTGGTAGCCCTTGTCCACAAGCCGGATTCTCGGCGTCGGCGGCGCCTTCACTAGGTCCAGGTCGCGGGGGGGGACTCCTCTACGTCCCTCCGTTTGTCGCCTCTAGCGGGCGAGGTCGGCGACGGCGGTGCGCGTCTCTTAGATGGGCCGGGTTGTGCGCATCTTTCCCCTCTGCCTGGTTCCCGGTCGGCGGCATCATTGCCGCTTCCCGCGAGGGCAGAGGGGGTGCCCTTGGATGCCGGGCGAGCGTGGAAGGTCCCCAGCTCAGTGGCGGGGACCAGCTTGGTCGGGTTCCTCAGATCCCGACGCACGACAGTTCGGGGAGTTCCCCTGTCAGGAGGTTTCCTGGGGGCTTTGCCCCTTTGCGACATCACGACACGAAAGGGGACTGGAGGGGTGGAAGAGGGTGATGTGGGGGCTGGAACCCCACGACGAACCTACCGAAAGGTAGGGAATTCCGCCCTGAAAGGGCAGGTGATCACGCTGTAAGACAGTCGCAAGTGGATTGCAGCAACGAATTTGCGTCAACAAATTCGGTCTGCAATCCTAGCGCGTTCTCTGACTAAACAAAGTACACTTTGTGTAGCTGGATTACGCACTGTATCGCTCTCAACAATTTGCGCAAGTGGGCACCAGTTGCGGGGCTCACTCTGGAGACTCGACGGCGAACCGGAGTCTCACAGAGGATCACACGACCAACGGTAAACTCAACAAGCAACAAATTGGAAAGCGACTGCTGCGCATGCGCGCCGCCGCCGCGCACTACGCCGCCTGGCGCGCCGCGCGCACCCACCAGGTACACTCGGACACGTGACACGTGACACGTGACACGGACACGTGGGCCACGGGCCGCGCCGCGCCCGCCTACCTGCTGCGCATGCGCGCCGCCGCCGCGCACTACGCCGCCTGGCGCGCCGCGCGCACCCACCAGGTACACTCGGACACGTGACACGTGACACGTGACACGGACACGTGGGCCACGGGCCGCGCCGCGCCCGCCTACCTGCTGCGCATGCGCGCCGCGCGCACCCACCAGGTACACTCGGACACGTGCAAAGCACACTCCAGGTTTATATTCGTGTGTTGCACCGAGTGGCGCGTGACCTACCGTCCTTCCATAATATCTACACACGACACCGTCCTCGTCAGCGAACACGACGACCTCATTCAAACTATACCGCGCAATATGACTACCCCGGTCGCCCTTCCGATCGATCCCCCTCCAATTCAAACGAGAATCGAAATTACGACGACCCGAGCCGGGGTTCGAACCCCTAGCGGTGCTCTCATGCCAAAGTCCTATCCGTCAGACGGAAGTTGAACTTCAGCCGTTTACTACGGATAATAATCAGAATTAAATATTATTATTATGATCTGTACACTAAATTCCTATTTAAATATACAAATAAATATACAAACTAAACTAAATATACAAGATCTCTTCTGAAGCTTTAATAATGTAAATCAAGGTATAAAAAAGTAGGATGTTGTAAAATGTCTTTCATCGCATAAGCTGACGAATGCCCACCCGTGCGAAGCAGGTACGGCCAGCAAGTACATAAATATTTAGAAATTGTTTACTTATGTTTCAAACTGTACTAATAGTCAAAGTTTCTTCAGTCATGAACTATTGAATTTATTGTATTGTTTATCAACGCAGGACCTCCCGGATTATATACCGTTCAGTCCAGAGAACACGACACAAGATGGCGACAAGTTGACTGAGAGAATTAAAGAGGAAGATATGGAGGTTAGAGTGCATTACTTTTAAATCTAACATTAGTCGACTTAAGTCGCGTTTTGTTTTCATGCAGGAATGAGTGTATGTAAAGATAAACTAAGAGAAAGATATCGAACGCACCACGCCTACCGCTACGCCTACCGGTCCATCCATTTCAGAAATTAGGCGGAACAAACAGATCGACAGACAAACAGACAAAAATTTTAAAAAGTGTTTTTTTGGTGTATGTACTGTATTTATATTCATATGCATGTGGTAAAAAGCGGTTATTTCAATATTACAAACAGACACTCCAATTTTATTTAGATGTGAACTAAACGCAATAAATAAAACTGTTCAAAATATACTATTTGAAGAAGTGACCGTTTTGATAGAGTTCATGTACTTTATAAAACTATTAATTTCAGTCATCCAGACAAGGCCCAGAACTTGAGAATGGAGATGACTCGACGAGAGACCAGTGTACACAGACCGATGAGGTGCAGCCCCCGCCTGCGACCCTCCGTCGAAGGGAGGTTAAGGTTATGGCTCAGTCATCCACATCCAAGTCCAATGTGAAGTCAGGAGAGACACATGTAAGTTTGTCTTCTGTTATATGAAATAAACTATCTGTACGCGCGACTTCGTCCGCGTGGAATTTAACTTTATTTTTCTAAAATAAAAGTAAGTCCTAAGTTACTCCTTATAACATCAGCTACCTGCCAATAAAAGTCCAGTCATTTCAGAGATTAGCCGGAATAAACAGACAGACAGACAAAAATTGTAAAAAATGTTAATCCACATTACTAACAAACCAATATTAAAAATCATTTACAATATGCACCCTTATACCCTTTCCCCAAAGGAAATATTAAAAATCATTACAAAGTGACTAATATATCTGTGTTTTTGTTTGATAGGGAGCGGTGCAAGAGGGAGACAGCGATAAACCAGAAGAAGACACCAACAAGAGCAACAGTAGCTGGTGGCGGTATCTCTACCCATTCTATTATTTTGTATGAACCAAAGAGTTGATATATATTGTGACCTCATTGTTGTAGTTTTCTGCAACTACACTAGTGTTCTGCCATATTAGTTAAGTGATTCTAAGTACGAGACGAGAATAATACAATATTTTAAAAAAATCGAAAAAAAAAACCACTAAACTCCTAACCGCCATTATACGAGACGACATTATTACAATATTTAAAAAAACTCAAGAAAAAAACATATTACATAGACAGCACTGTACAGCTGTAGACAGGAGTGTATATCGTTGGACAGAACTTTTTTTTTTTGAGGGTTGATAATGGATTGATGAACCCTCCTGCTCTAACGATTTACGCTGGCGGGGCACCAGTGGAGGATGATAAGATGAGCCTGAGGTCAGGTCAGTTAGCTCATTGTGGCAAATTCACCAGGAATTTAACACAATGGTTTCCAGGGGACACCACGTGGAGGTCGACCTGACATGATACATTGCTAGCAATGGGGTTATCAATCCACATTACCAACAATCCCCTTTCCCCCAGGTAGACAGGACTGTACAAAGCTAGACAGCACTGTCCAGGCAAATCAGCTTAAATACATTTTTGCGTTTGTAGTAAATTCAGAAAAAAACAGTTTTGCACTAGCTAACACGAGTACTCGCTCCCGCAATAGTCGGGTGTAGTTGCGGAAGAGATGTAACGATATTATATAAATTTAATTTTGTGAATTACGTGATTAAGAAATTCACTATTAAAATTACATTTAATAGTGCAAGAAATAGAAAAAGAAATTCATTTATCTACTACAAATGCAAAAATGTCTTTAAATTGATTTACCTGTTCATAGGGTTGCCAACTCTCGAAAGGATCACCCTGCGAGAATTTTATCGAGATTATTAAAAGAAAATCATTAATTCTAATTCGATTTTCTTAACGAGATGTGGTTGCATCTCTCGCAAAAGTACAACCTCGTACAATTTGTCACTATCTAAGTCCATATTTGATAATTCCTGAAGTTTAGTAATTGGTTCTTTTTAGGATAAACGAGAATGTATTTTTCTTTTTGAGAAAATCCGGAGAAATTATTGCTCTCCAGGAGGTCGGGAGATTAACTATTATTACCGTATTCTCTCGTAATAATGGCATTTTATTATATGAGAGTTGGCAACCCTATCTGTGTTGCTATCTTTACCTATATAATATGATTCAAACTATTATATACAATGAACTATCACACAGTACTGTTTATTAACAATAGACAAGTCTAGAATTTTGTCACTAATTTCCTTCGCGATTCTGTGGAACGTTAGTTTCATATTCTGTGGAAATAACTTTATTAGTTATTTTTAAACTTTCGTGTTTAATATATATTAATTATGTTATTAACTGGGTCTTAACATGAATATTTTATGGCAAATAAAGATATTTATCTCTGTTGTCACCTATGTACATTGATATCGCTGTTACTCCAATCAGCTCGTGACCACGTCTAGTGCAACCTAGTCGAAACGTCGAGAGAGGTAAATACCTTTATGTGCCATAAAATTATTCGTGTTAAGACCCGGTTAATAATTTAAATAACTTTATTGTTTAGTTTTGATGCTTAAAGGGGTAAAAGTACACTGGATGACTTTTGTTATCGTACGGAAATAAAAGATTATTTTGAAGAGATGTTATACATACAGAACGAATTTGTCCGACATGTTTAGCCTAATTTAGATGGCATATAAAACAATTAACTACAAAAATAATAATAGTTAAATGTATTTTTTAATAATAATAAATAAGAACGACGTCGTAATAAAATAAAAGTAACACTATAGATATATTAAATAGAAATAATAAGAAATATTAAATTTCGTCAACTATTTTTTTTATTGTATATAAGTATAGTTTTTCATAATAAAACCTTAGTAAGGTTCAAACTTATATTTTAAATCAATTATGGTCGAATTTCGACCACTGATCGCTAACCACTGGTACTATATACATATACATACCAATATTTATTTATTTATTTTATTTCCACGCTTACATCTATTTTACTTATATAAAAGAATTATAGTATTTAAAATTGTAATAAAAACAAGTAGTCTAGTTCTATATATGTATATATATATGTTGTTATTTTTAACTATACAACCGTTTTGTAGTGTTTTCTCTGACCGATATAAAAAGTCATCCGGTGGAGTTTTTTAGGATATTAGTAATAAGAGTCTGAATACAAAGTATCAATAAGCACATATATAATGTCCGAGTTGTCATGTTGGTAAATATAAGATCAGTTAAGTCTGTATTTAACAATATGTATAACAAAACATGCATGCTAATGTGGATCTAAACTGTTAGAACATTATGTTATTGGGTTTTCCCTAGAGATTATAGCATGGGGTTTTTTAATATATATTTATGCATGATAATGGAATGGCGCACCCGCCTCCGCTTATGGTTTACGCTGGCGGGCCACAGTGGAAGATAATAAGATGAGCATGATGTCAGGTCAGTAAGCCCATCGTGACAGATCCGCCAAGAATTTATAACGATGGTTTCCAGGGAGAACCGTGTGTAGGTCAACCTGATATGGTACATTGCTAGCAATAAGATTATCAGTCCACATTACTAACAATCCAGTTTCCCCCTATATATAAGTAAATAAATATATATATTGTGGATGAGAATTTAATAGTACACCCGCCTGTGCGTAATGCTTTAGCGCTGGCGGGGCACGAGTTGAGGATGATAAGGTTTCCAGGAAAAACTGAGTGGAGTCAAACTGATATGGCACAATCGATGGGGTTTTTAGTCCAGATTACTGATGGTGAATTTAACACTATGGGTCAACTGACCTGACTTCAGGCTTATCTTATCATCCTCCATTGGTGCCCCGCCAGCGTAAACCGTTAGTGCAGGCGCGAGCACCATTCCATTATAAGTAAAAAATGGCATCCTGGTGAGCATCTGATGGCCGTAATCATCCTCCTCCATAGGGTCAAAGTTGGATTTGATGCCCACGCTAATCAGACGTAAGTGTCCATCGAATCTCAACTATACTACACTACATTTGGTACACTATTCTTGTTCTAAGTGTATAATGGTGTAGGTAATAAATTCGTTCACACAGTTTAAATCCACATTACCAATTACATCTCAATCATTTGAACTTTGTCATAAAAGATACAATGCAATGAAATGATCTTCTTACATTGATAAAAAAAATAATGTATTTAATTTTTAATGGTATATATGATTTGAATATTTATGAATGCAGTACTATTTTAGAGTATCTATAATGTATGAGTTGTTGAGTGGACACCGCGAATTAGCAAATATAAAACGTAGGACCTCCCGTTACCTGAAGCTACGACGTAGAGTTGCGGGTAATACAAAATGGGAAGGGCTCGAGATCATGCCTTGTGAGAGACCTATGTCCAACAGTGGACTGCAGTGGGCTGATGAAGATACTCGATAGTGTATTTTTCATCTTTTTGGAATACCAAACAAGCTGTACCTCACATGCGTTGGCATTTCTGAGGACTGAGTTATGCCTACAGGGTAAAGCCCTGTAATTTTATTGTCTTATCTCACACTTAATTTGAAACATATACTACAAATCAAGTTGCTTAGAAACTAAAATATGTGAGTTTCCGTTTTTCTACTCATACTAGAAAAACGGAAAAGACTATATAAAATTCTGTAACTCGCTCTCTTAAAAATTATAAATTTTAATCAGATCTGCCCAAAGCCAAAAGAGAATTTGTGTGAAATAGATAAAAAAAATATCAATTATCCATTTCCACAATATGTATAAACCTTAAAATTTTCCAACGAAGTAATCTTTAGGGAATTTGTTAAGGTTTAACACACTCTCACTGCCTTTCGGCTTGGTATTACAACTAAGTAAGCCTGTACATCTGCAGATTCTGCCAAACTGAAGGGGATACGCCTCTACACATCCTATGTGGTTGTAGCCCACTCATGCATAAACGATATATCTCCTTTGGAAAGTTTACACTCTTTCCCGAGGAGATAAAAACCATTGCTCCTAAGAATATCTCTCAATTCTTGTCCCTGACGGGTCTAGGTAGCGAACTCTGAAAAAGGGCGAGCACTATAGATCTATGTGGGTCGCCGTGCTACAGGTGCTACAAACACCTGACAATAGCCCAAACAACCCAATACAAAAAGCCTGTACATTATAGATGCTCTAAATTAAAAACTATAAAGATCTTAAGAAATGAGTTAGTGTGAATCAAAATATAACAAAGTCTGAACTCAACACAATGCAAACTATACCGTATTATTATTATAATAATGTTTACTTTTACATTTCATCGTACAATGCAATTTTTAAACAAATACTAATCTACTTTGTATTAATATAGAATAATTAATATTAACATGGTGTTTACAGTGTCAATTGCAAAGAGATTTTGAAATAAATATTGTTTTTTCTATTGAGTAGGTAACATAACAGTAGGTGGTGATACTGTTATGATGTACTAACTTCTAGATATATAAGTGAAGGTGTTAAGTTCATTATATATTTTGACTGTTTCTCCAGTGATGAAAACACCGATAACAAACTAATGGGCCGTAAGCCAGTTACAGGTCAATGTGACAAATTTTCTCCCGTTTGAAAACTTCTATCATATAATAATAAATATAGTAATATGTATTTCATTTTTGTTGATTGTACACAAAAAAAATTTAGTTTATGAGGTTCCTGTTCCTCAACCTACCCTCGGATCTGGAGCTGATTATGGATGATTGTGGAATGGTACACCTCCATTTCACCTCATAAACTTTTTTTTTGTGAAAAATCTAACGTTAACTGCCTGCGCTAACGATTTATGCTGGCGGGGCACCAGTGGAGATTGATAAGATGAGCACAAGGTCACATCAGTTAGCATATCGTGACAAAATGACCAGTAATTTATCACGTTAGTTTCCAGGAGGAACCGCATGGAGGTCCACCTGACTTAGTACATTACATACAAGTTAGTATGTTCACATTACTAACGATGCCTTCTTCC